AATTAACAAAGGTTGAGAAAAATTGGTGGCTAAAAAGATTTAGATAGAATTAAATTAACGATTCAGAGCTGTGATGATTATAAAAATCACAAAAACATATTAAAATATTTAAAAACAATTAGTTATAATTACGTAGGGAAAAAAATATAAATATAAATTTTGCTTTTCGAGCGCTTGTTTTTTGCTTTTTTTGATTTTTAACTAATTTGTCAATTATCATCATTAATATTTGTATTATTATTATTCCTATTATTAGCTATATAATATAATATTATCTAATATCTTAAACCGCATTGTAGTCGGTGCTCACTAGCCATTTAAACGATAGTCGATAAGCGTATCATTAAATTGATAATCGTTGGGCTCGTTAGACTGCATTGCACAACTTGGCAACGTTTCAATAAATTTCGTCCGGAGTCGTATCATTTTTTGGGTGCAATATAAAAGCTTTTGTCATACAGTGGCCGTCCACAGTCGTGTTGCAAAAAAGGTAGAGCGTCCGCAATCGTGTTTCACCCATTAAAGTGTGCCCGCGTATTCCGACATTGTTTTCAAATTAATATAAATCTAATAACATCAAAATGTACCTTGTTTTCAAATTTATTTGTATGTGGGAATTCATCATTGATACGTTTCACATTTTCACAGGTCATATGAGTAAATTTAGTGTAATACTAATGGTTTAGTTTTGTCGACTTGAATTTATTAAACATTTTAGTGTACCTAATATTTGTATTCTGTATTTTTAATAAACATTCAATTAAAACAAACTCTTTTATTATTATTTATTGTATAAATATACAAAGCACAACTTTAGTTTTAAATTGTATATAATAAAAACTCACAAAATACATTTACGATTCATGAATAGGTTTTTTATTTAAATCGTCAAATAACTGCCAATTCCTATTTCCTCTTTTGACATATGCTTGATAATGTCCTAATGAATTTTTTAGAGATGTCCGTCCTTTTTTAAAACTAACGACTCCTCTAAGTTCGTATGTTTTTGAACCATTTATCAACAGCTGAGGAATTTCAGCTAATTTTATTTGTACGTGCGCAGCACTCTCAGACGAACGGTTGGTGGAAAAACAATAAATTTAATTCAACATAAAATTATACATGTTAGTATTTATAAAGTACAAAATAAAATTAATTTCTATAGGTGAGTTAAATATTTCATGACTAACAACTAAATTTACCTTCCCAATATAGAATATCGATGAATATATGCATTTCGGATGTTTCAGAAATTTTTTTTTTTTTTTATTAAATTTTAAATATTAATCCAATTTAGATTTTTTTTTTAATTTGTGTTTTTGTTCATAAAAAAATAAATAGTAAAATATACTAGTAAATCTAATTTTATTAGAATTTTGTCTGTTTATAGGTTTTTTTTTTTTTATCAATATTATTATTACATAAAAAAAAATGTTTATATTATAAAAATATATATTGAATACAAAATGTTTAAATTAATTTTAAAACTAAATTTGAATAAAAGAAACGTATATAAATAACTTAAAAATTGTTAAAATATTTTGAACATTTTATCAAGTATAGGAATTAATGAAATAAATATTTGGTGTAAATTTCAAGTTTCTACAATTATTAGTTTTTATTCAACAACAATATAAGAATATCGGAACACATTTTAAAACCTTAGATTTAAATAGAAAAATTTTTATGAATTTCTAACTCAAAATAAATTGCAAATTTTCGTGATTTTTACGTATTTTGTCAAAATTTGAACTTTCATTGTTTATTAAAAAAATTGTGACWATGTATTTTTAATATTTTTTAACTACTATTGCAACAATATATTAGAAGTCTTGTATCAAACTTTGAAGCATTTTTACCTAACCAATAAAATTTTATTGTCATTTATAAAAAAAAAAAAACTAAAAAGATTTAAAATTTCTAATGACTATAAATAACTTGAAAAGATTTGAAATTTTTTGAAAATTTTATCGTGTATAGAAAATGCCTGTATACACATTCAGTGAAAATTTCATGTTTATAGAGTAATTAGTTTTAGAATTACATCAATATCTAAAATCGATTTTTTCAAAATTTGATTTTTGAAAATTACTTCCCCAATGCACTAAATAGATTTGATTTCAAGCGGAAAAGCTACTGATGTTGAAAATCGAAGCATTATTTTGACGAGTTCTCGTATACAGACAAAAAAAAAATTTTTAAAAAGGAGGGTCAGTCGTGGATGTGGCTCTGCTGATTATTTTATCCTAGAAATTCATAAAAAATTTTCCTTTTATACCTAAGATTT